CATTCTCCTGCCTCAGCCTCCCGAGTAGCTGGTACTACAAGCACCCGCCACCACGCCCGGCTAATTTTTTTTTGTATTTTTAGTAGAGACGGGGTTTCACCGTGTTAGCCAGGATGGTCTCGATCTCCTGACCTCGTGATCCGCCCGTCTCGGCCTCCCAAAGTGCTGGGATTACAGGCGTGAGCCACCGCGCCCTGCCGCCATATGCACCTTTTTAAAGTATACAATGCCATGGCTTTTAGTATATTCACAGAGATGTGCAACCAGCATCACAATCAATTTTAGAACATTTTCATGACCCCCAAAGAAACCCCATATCCACTTAGCTGTCACTCTATGTGCCCCACACGCCCCGCCACCCGCTCCCTGCCAGCCTCTGGAAATCACTCATCTACTTTCTGTCTCTATGGATTTGCCTGTTCTGGGCATTTCATAGAAATGGAATCACACACTTTCTGACCTTTTGTGATTGGCTCCTTTACACAGTATCATGTTTTCAAAGTTCATCCGTGTTTTTAGTGGATCAATACTTCATTCCTTTTCATGGCTGAATAATATTCCATTATTGGATATTCCACATCTTGGTATTCCTTTAATCAGTGCATGGACATTTGAGCTTGTCCTAGTTTTTGGCAATTGTGAAAAGTGCGGCTGCTGCATTCTGGAGCCAACATGAAATGCGTGGGCAAGAGGAGGACGTGTTCCCTAGAGACCTCAAGAAATGCCCCGTTGTTATTATTTTGTGTACCATCTTAAAAAACAGACTTTCTGTTTTAGAGCAGGTTTAGATTTACAGAATTGCAAATCTAAAAGAAAGAACAGAGTTTTCAGTGACCTCGTTACCTCCACCCCACCTCCCCACCAGTTTCCCCTATTGACATCTTGCATGAGGATAGTATGTCTGTTACCACTGATTAACCAATATTGATACATTATTATGAACTAAAGTCCATAATTTACATTAGAGTTCACTAGTGGTGTCCTACATCCTATGGGTTTGCAGAAATAATGCGAGGCATCCACCATTACAGGATCCTACAGAATAGTTTCTCTGCCCTAAAATTCCTCTGTACTCCTGTTCATCCCGAATCCCCACAGCAACCACTGATCTTACTGTTTCTACAGTTTTGCCTTTTGCAGAATGTCATGGAGTTGGAATTGTACAGTATGCAGGCTTTTCAGACTGGCTTCTTCCAATTAGATTGGCAATATGCATCTGAGGTTGCTTCATGCCTTTTTGTGGCTTGATAGCTCATTTCTTTTTATCGATGAGTAACATTTATTTTTATTTCTTGTAACTTTTCTCCAGATGGAAAGGCCCACCATCTTCCAGCACTTGGCAGTGTCTTCTGGGGGTCTTGCTGCCACTTGCTGAGGGCTTTGCCAGCTGGCTCTGTCTCTCCCCTGGCCTGAGAATTGGGAGGGCTGACGTCAGCTCAAGGACTGAGCCCTGGCCATTTCTAGGGATGCAGCACCTGGGCCTGGAAGGTGCCCAGGGAGACCTTGTGGGAGGAGGGAGAGAGGAAGATAGGAAGGGGTGAGGGATGGAGGGAGGGGGAACTAGGTGGAGGCAGAGAGAGAGAGGCAGCTGCCAAAATCTATGAGATGGTTGAGGAGGAGTGGGGGAGGGGAGTCTCAGGGATTTAGCAGGTGTTGGTCACTGTCCAGTGGGAGACCTGGGGGAAGAGGCAGGGGCCGGACAGCTTAGTCCTCCCCACCTGTCCTTTGCCCTGAATGTGGGGTTGAGCCATCAGCCAGAGTTCCCACCCTGCCAGGGGAGGAATGGGTGTTTTGCAGTCACGAGGCAGTGGAGAGGGGTTGGAGGAAAGGACATTGGTCCACGGCCCTTGGGGTGCATGTGTCTGGGAGCCAAAGGGCAAATGCAACACCTTTGGGCCCAGTGAGGTATAACCGAGTGAGGAAAGGTTAACAGAGGCCCTGAACCCAGACTGTACTTGGCAGGACTCCAGGAAATTAGTCAGGTGAAGGCAGAGCCCAGGGACCTGGCCTTTGTCCCCAGCAAGCCCTGAGCCTGCAGGAGCTGAGCCCTCAAGTGAGGAGGACTTCCTGGCATGCCCACATGCCTCGTGGCTCTGCCTCAGTGAGGCTGCTGGGGCTGCGGGGCCAGCTCCCCCTGGGTCAAGCTTCCCCTCGCTGGTTGGGAGTCTCCCTAATCCAGGGTGTGTGCTGGGGGCTTGCCAGGACTCTCCACTCCCTTGGCCCTCCCCCTGCCTCCTGCCACTCCCAGGATTTTGTAACTTTGGGTCCTCCTTCCCCAGAGAGGTCCTGGATATGCAGGAGTCCCCTCGCCACTTTTGCTCTTTATCTGTTTGCCCTTGTTCGGGGCCAAGTGTGGACAGTGGGTAGCACAGGAGAGAGCAGAAGAGAGAATGGAGAGGGAGGAATAGAAAGGACGAAGAGGAGGGTGCTGGTTAAAGAAGGCATGGCCTCTCGGCCGCTCCCACCTAGAAGTGGAGGCTGTTCCCTCTCCTGTGAAATTTGGGAGAGTCCATGATTAGCCGTGGTCAACAGGATGAGGCAGAGGGGCATGGAGACCTCCCAGGCTGGCTGTTGACCTGTATGCAGCTTCCACTTGCACCATCAAATGTCCTGTCTTCTGCTCCAGCTCCATGATGAGATGCCCATGGTGTGTGGGGAGGTCGCTCCACGCTGAGATGCCCGTGGTGCGTGGGGAGGCCGCCCACGCTGGGAGATGCCCGTGGTGCGTGAAGGTCGCCTCCACGCCGAGATGCCCGTGGGTGCGTGGGGAGGTCAAGCCCACGCTGAGATGCCCGTGGGTGCGTGGGGGGAGGCCGCTCCACGCTGAGATGCCCGTGGTGCGTGGGGAGGCCGCCCACGCTGAGATGCCCGTGGTGCGTGGGGAGGTCAGCCCACGCTGAGATGCCCGTGGTGCGTGGGGAGGTCAGCCCACGCCGAGATGCCCGTGGTGCGTGGGGAGGCCGCCCACGCCTGAGATGCCCGTGGTGCGTGGGGAGGCCGCTTCCACGCTGGGAGATGCCCGGGGTGGGTGCGTGGGGAGGCCGGCCCACGCTGAGATGCCCGTGGTGCGTGGGGAGGCCGCTCCATGCTGAGATGCCCGTGGTGCGGGGGAGGTCTCGGTGAGGGGAGGTGGAGATGTTCACTAACAGTCTCAGTTGATAGCAGGCACCCACCGTGGCCTGGACATGAGCCTGGAGGACAGGCTAGGCCTGGGCCAGTCCTCGGTGACTGCAGACACAGCTGACAGGAGGCAGAAGGACCCACCCAACTCACCTCGTAGACTCATGACACAGATGATAATGGTTTCCAAGACACCACCTTGGGGGCATGGGTGGTGCAGTAATAGATAAATAAGGCAGGGTGTGTAGGCACGTCTTTACTTTCATAGCATCCACCCTTGGCGGCTTTGCTCCACTTCAGGTAGCTCTCAGCGTCCCTCCTTCCCACCCCCTTCGCTCCATTCTGTTCAGGTTGGCTCTGCCTCAGTCTTCCAGGAATTTGTTCCCTGGGACTGAAGGCGTTGGGGCTGAGTCAGCTTTCCCTGAATCACCCTGAGAGTCCGGGGCTGCATGATTCTCCCTTCTCAAGGCCAGCGGCTCAGCCCTCTTCTGTATCACTGGCAACAATAATCCTCTCCCGCTTCCTCCTTCCTCCATCTGCTGGCATGATCCCAGTTTCGTTTCTACTGTTTCATCAGAGAACCGTGGCTGACTCCAGCAACCGGCATCAGGAGGATGTCATAGGCCACGCCTCAGGAAATAAGGGCCTTAAACAAGTGATCAGGGCTGAGAAGGGAAAGGGTCCAGCGTTGCGACTTGCTTGCATATTCTAGGGGATTGGCAGCCCTGTTCCTGGGCGAGTGAGTTGGGTTGATCCGTCTCTTTGTGTGCAGTATCTGGGACTACAGAAGTGCAGGACTGAAGGGTGGCGTAAGGCTCCTGACAGCATTGGAAGCTCTGGAGAGGCAGAGGCCGCAGTCTCGAGATTCACCCAGCCACAGGATGGCGCACAGGGGCCATCCGGCTCCGCCTCAGAGTATCTTGCAGGTTCCAGGGCGGACCCCGGAAAACCTAACTGGGAGCTGAGTCTGCAGGTGGCTGCAGGGCGGTGCTGGGTTGAGTCTGCAGTTACTACCACAAAAAGGCGGGCCTGAAGGCATTGCCGAGAATGTGAGGACTCGTGAGCCTGACACCCCACACCTGGAGTGAGGTGGCGCCCACCCCACACTCCGCCTGCACCCCTTGCCTGGGGGTGGCCACAATGCATGGCAGTGGAGTCAGCACTGCCCTTGCCCTCCCCGGGATCAAACCTACTGGGGCCTGGGATTGAAATTCTGAGAGGAGGTGAGGGGACTGTCCTCAGAGAGAATGGGAATGCATTGGCTTCTATCACAACAATCCTGGAATGTTCCTGAGAAGGGCTTTTGGAGATGCTCGCCTAGGACTGGCTCCCTTGGGAAGATGATCCAACCGTTGTCCTGTGCAACTGAGTGCTGAATGGTCAGCTCTGGGTAAAGTTTGGATGTCGCCAAGCTGATGGCGGGCGTCTGTACCTGAACACCTTCCAGCTTGGTGGGGGCAGCGGAGCCAGCTGTCCTCATTAAAAGCGACCTGGAGTGAGATGGACTCTTCTGCCTACACCTCCACACATGGGCTCCCGAACACCTCCATCACCACGGGCTCCCAGGAAGTATTGTTTCTGGCCGCAGGGCCTACCAGGTAATGCTGTGACAGGAGGGACAGGCCAAGGCCAACAAGTGACTGCCTCCCCAGAGTCTTGTCAGGCTGGAAGCAGCTGGTTTCATAACAGAGATTCTGTGCCCAGGTCCCTGGATGTAGGAGGATTTATGGCCACCCTTTTGAAGAGGTAGTCACGACCGTGAGAACTGCCAAAGGTGGAGAAGGATGTGGAGAAGGTGTTGGAGGAGGGCCAGACATACTAACTATAGCCTGGCCTGCGGAGCTGTAGCTTTCACCTGTACTTCCCGCTTTTGGTGTCACTCATCATAACTCACGATGGTGATCAAATGTCTTCTCTCCTCTAGGCAGGTGGTAAAGGTACTATCTGGTGCACAGGTTGAGAGTGTCAGTGATAGGAGCCATCAGAACAAGGGCAGGAACGTGACCTCCGAGGTGATCCTGATGCAGGTGCTTCCAGTGGAGCGTTTCAGAATTCTGTGTCAAAAAAGAAGACTGCGTGTTGACTGGGGTGGGCTGTGCCTACGTCGGTGGCCTATGGTGTAGTGCACCCTTTTTTTGTACTTGTCTTGCCTCCTCTCCTTCAGGGTCTGCTCTTCCTCTCGTGGCTCTGGGGCTGCATCTCAGAATCAAATTCTCGGTCACTCCTCCCATACAGGGATGGACATGGGAACTAAGTGGGGCCTTTGGGGTATCTTCAGGCCTCCCACAGCCGCTGGCCTGCCTGCCATCTCTCCTGCCCCCTTGCCCCTTCGTCACTTCTCCTGGGCTGAACTCCACACCCAAAGCCTGATCCACTGTGCTAGTGACCAGTGCAATCCTTAGATGCCTCTTGGTTCCTAATTGCCCTGCGGTCTTGGGGCAGGTTGAGGGGGAGTCACAGGCCATCTAAGGAAAAGCAGAGAGGGCTGTTTGGGAGGGTGACGGAGGACCCTGGTGGGATGCCGAGTCACAGCCTTGCTGGGCACAGTGACTGGCGTGCATAGTGAGCTGCTTTCCCAAGCAATGCCACCCCAGCCTCAGATATGCTGCTGAAAGGGGTGGACGGGCAGTGGGGTTGGGACTCTGCCGAGGTGTCCTAACTGCCATCCCCATCCCCAGGCACAGGCCCAGGCCCCTCCAGCAGGAAAGGCTAGGGACCACACTGCCACGGGGTTTGCCAGGCCCTTGTCTCTTGGGAAGCCGCCCTCTCCCAGGGAAAGGCAGGGCTGGGGGCTGTTCAGGCTCATACTACCTGCTCTAGACTTCGGCAGGCTGCACCACCTCTGAAAATGGGAGTCATTGTGGGCACCATCACACCTGGGTACAGGGCGCCCAGTGGCTCAGCTGCCCCAGCCAGGCTGCTCTGTCCTGGCCTCAGCACACCTCCCACAGCCACTGCAGGCAGCCCCGGGACCTTCTCCTGCTGAGGCCTTACTGCTAATCTCTTCTGGGAGATTTAGACATACAGGGCAGCGTCTGGTGGATTCCCAGGAGCCCAGGCCTCTATCCTGTCCTCCCCAGTGGCTGGGGCAGTGGGCTGGGCAGCAGGGCCTCAGTGCCCTGGGAGGCAGGGCTCATCCCACAAGTTGCCATGGTGGCTCCCTCCTCTGCCCCTTTACTCATTAGCTAAGCTACTGATACGGGTTGCCCAGGCAGGGGACAACTTGCTGACAAAGCTGGATGTGCGAGCCGCCGCAGGGGGCTACAACGCCCTGGCCAGGAATGATAGCCTCCAGACACAGTGCCCCGCACCACGGGGTTGCTGTCCTGCTCCTCAGTGGCTGGTTCTCAGAGGCTTTGGGGCTGAGATGTGACTCTCTTTGCCCCTTTCTGGACCCCTGGTAAGGAGGAGGAGCTGGGGCAGGCAGGAGTGGAGGAAGCTGAGAGGTTGAGGTGTCTGCCTGGCAGGCAGGATCCAGAAATGTGCTCACATTTTCTCCAGAAACTGCTCATGCTGACTGCCAGGTCTAGGAGTCTGGGGATTGTGCAGGACGGCCCGTGGAGGCTGTCCTGACAATCCCCAGTGGCAGTGGGGCCTGACATTGCCCAGCAGCAGGCAGCCCTGTGACAGAAGCGGTGGGTGTGCCCCAGCTGGAAACCCACAAAGTCTGGAGTTGGAAGGATGGCCCCTGTGACAAATGCAGCCTCAGAGATGCATGAAGCCTGCACTTGCTAAAGAAGGGGCCGCTACCCATTTCATTTCCAAAGGGAAATTGTTTTATACATTTTTTTTTTTTTTTTTCTGACCAGAAGAAAGTAATGGGATTAAGCGCAGGCCCCATGCTCAGTTAGATCTAGCTAATTTCTTTGGGAGGCCGCAGGAGGGAGGATCACCTGGAGGTCAGGAGTTGAGACCAGCCTGGCTAACATGGAGAGTTCCTGACTCTACTAAAAATACAAAAATTAACCAGATGGGTGGCGGCGCCTGTAATCTCCAGCTACTCGGGAGAGAGGCAGGAGAATCGCTTGAACCCAGGACGGTAGGTTGCAGCGAGCCGAGATCGCGCCACTGCACTCCAGCCTGGGCAACAAGGGCGAAACTCTATCTCAAAAAAAAAAAAAGAAAGGAGTAATGGATTTGCATCTTCCTGTAAAACTTGTGAAAACTGAAAGTTATAAAGAAGAAAGAAGTTTAACTCAAATCCTAGTGCTGGAACAGCCATTACTAAAGATTTTGGTGTATTTAATTCTCCTCCTTTTTTGGGTTGTGCGGCCTGACCAAATTAGCTGCTTTTTTGTTTTTTTGTTTTTTTTTTTTTTTGAGACAGAGTCTTGCTCTGTCAGCCAGGGCTGAGTGCAGTGCAGTTGTGGTCTCAGCTCACTGCAAGCTCCGCCTCCCAGGCTTACGCCATTCTCCTGCCTCAGTTTCCGTGTAGCTGGACTACAGGCGCCGCCTACCTCCCAGCTAGTTTTTTTGTACTTTTTAGTAGAGACGGGTTTCACCGTGTTAGCCAGGATGGTCCGATCTCCTGACCTCGTGATCCACCCGTCTCGGCCTCCCAAAGTGCTGGGATTACAGGCTTGAGCCACCGCGCCCGGCCCAAAATTATTGTTATAATAGGAATGGCAGTATCAGTATCAGACACTTGGGCTGGAACTCAGGGCAACAGGCACTGCGCTGGGTGTCTCGTGCACTGACCCTTCTGGGAAGGAACGTGGAGGCCAGGGGTGACTGCGGCTGCAGAAGACATAATGGGAGCTGGGCTCAAGCCACCCGACCGCCGGCCCTGGCTTTCCCGGGCGTAGGTGACCTCTCGGGGCACTGGTGCGGGGCCCTCAAAGCTGGAGAGGTCTGTCTTGCAGGGCTGGGCTGTGTGGGCACCTGTGGCCCCAGGTCTGACCCGGCCGCTATCCTCCAGTTCCTGTTCCAGATGCTGACTTTCATGATCTACATCGTGAGCACTGTGTTCTGTGGGCACCTGGGCAAGGTGGAGCTGGCATCGGTGACCCTTGCGGTGGCCGTGAGTACCCAGCTTGGCCCAGAGCGGGGACATTCTCTCCCCAGGCTTTTCCACCGGGTTCCCGGGTGGGCCCGTCTTGGGTGGCTGGTCAGGGATGGGAAGACACAGCCCACGTGGCTGGACAGCTGCCTTCACAGGTGGAAACTGAGGGCCGGAGATGGAGGCAGTCTGGCCCTGGGGCACACAGCACGTGAGGCTGCGGAGCAGAGCCACCTCTGCCACCGCGGCCTGATGGGCAGCATTTCCCCACCCCGGCTCAGCCCAGGTGCAGGGGCCTGTCTTCAGGCCTCGCCTGACAAGCTCTTGTTTCCTCCTGTGTGTGGCACCAGTTTGTCAATGTCTGCGGAGTTTCTGTAGGAGTTGGTTTGTCTTCGGCATGTGACACCTTGATGTCTCAGGTGGGTGACCTCCCGGAGCTGGGCAGGGAGCCAGGCAAGGGCAGAGCCAATCCCACAGGTGTCATGGAGATGGCAGGTGGAAGGGATGTACCCAGGTGATCTGGGAGTGATGGGCCCTGGGGTCAGCTGCCCTTGCCCCACCTCCAAGGACCACAGGCTGTCAGGGAAACAGACCTTCCCCTTTGAAAGAGTCTGGGCCAGGAGAAAGGGATGGAGACAGTTCTCTGACCTCTTGTCCCCAGAGGAGGTCACCAAGTAGAGAAAGACAACCAGTTCCCCAGCCTCACTCCTAAGTTCGGCTGCCTACATGCAGGCGTGTGTCAAAGGCCAAGGGGACACAGAAGGAACCTCCCTGCTTGCAGGGGCCTGCAGTCCAGCAGGGGCTGCCCAGGTGGCCGTGGGGTCACAAAGCGGCAAGGCCTCACTTCTCCCTGGGGGTTCTAGCCTCACGGTGGACCTGGGCTTGGTCCTAGCTCCACTTATCCCTCCGCAACATATGATGAAGCCCCCATGACTTCGTCCTCCTTGGAACTTTGGAAGAACAGTGGAGACAGTGTGGGGCCCAGGCTCAGGAAGGCCCCTGTGCCCTTACAGGCTGCGGGCGCCGGGCTGCGGTCACCAGAGGCCGCAGGCTCCGCCACACACCGCTGGCGCTGCTGACAGTCCGCTCCCCGCGCGGGGTTTAGGAATGGCCGGGGCAGTGGAAAGGGCTGACGCGGGGCGGGCTGTTTTGCAGAGCTTCGGCAGCCCGAACAAGAAGCACGTGGGCGTGATCCTGCAGCGGGGCGCGCTGGTCCTGCTCCTCTGCTGCCTCCCTTGCTGGGCGCTCTTCCTCAACACCGGGCACATCCTGCTGCTCTTCAGGCAGGACCCGGACGTGTCCAGGTGCGCTGGGCTCCGGCTGGGGAGATAGGGCTTGCCAGAGACCCAGCGGCTCCTGGAAAACCCGGGCCGCCGAGGGAAACCCTGAAGCAGCCCAGCCCTCAGACCCCATGCTTCTCTAGGCCACCAGTGCTCACAGTGCACTGGGCCTGTGGGTACCTTCCAGGCTTTGGTTTGGAGATTCTCCCCACGGCTGCAGTTCCAGCAGTGACCAGCAGGGGACAGAGGTGGACAAACGCCCAGTTTTAATTAAGGAGGCAAGGCGAGAAACAATTTGGGATTTGCATTTTATTTGCATTTGTGTGCCCGGGACACAGTTGGAGCTTTACTGATGCTTTTGAAGAAATGAAGTGTGTGCGTTTTCCCATATTCCAAAAAGGAGAAAGATGACAACCACTTTCTGATGAATTATAGATGATGATGATGATGATTTGAGACAGTCTGGCTCTGTCGCCCAGGCTGGAGTGCAGTGGTGCGATCTTGACTCACTGCAACCTCCGCCTCTCGGGTTCAAGTGATTCTCCTGCCTCCGCCTGCTGAGTAGCTGGGACTACAGGCATGCGCCACCACACCCGGCTAATTTTTGTATTTTTAGTAGAAACGAGGTTTCACCATGTTGGCCAGGATGGTTTTGATCTCTTGACCTCGTGATCCACCCGCCTCGGCCTCCCAAAATGCTGGGATTACAGGCGTGAGCTACCGCGCCCGGCCTATAGTTTACTATTAAATTTAGAGATGCCCTCTCATAGGGATGCCTTGTTCATTTATATAATGTACCTTTCATTTGATTATTGCTTTTTAAGATATAACCGTTTTTTCTTACAAACCACGTTATTCTGAATTGAAGTTCCCTAGTCCTGAGGCCTGGGTGTCTGGGTGCTTCAGCTGCCCCTCCTGGCACCTGTTTAGCATCTGGAAGCAGCAGTCCCTGATGCTAGGTTTCACAGTCCCGGCTGAGACCCTGGGACAGCGGCTGAGCACCCTGTCCTGGAGGACACAGGGGAGAGGGCCCTGTCTCCCCAGGCCACAGCCTGGTCAGCTCCGGAGCTTCTCCCTCTCTTGCAGGTTGACCGAGGACTATGTCATGATTTTCATTCCAGGACTTCCGGTAGGTGCCCTGTTTGCTGAGGTGCCCTGTTTGCTGAGCATGGAATCACATTCTCCTAAATTCTGGCTTTTTGCTTTCCCGCCCTATCCTGCTGTGACTTCCTGCTGCGCCATGAGGATGATTGACAGAAGAGAAGTATGGCCTAACTATGGGTACCAGATAACCTTTGGAATTGATATTGTGGAAGGTTATTCAGTCCTATAAAGAGACTAATGACATATTTTAAAGGGAGAAAGCATATTATAACCCAATATACACATATTGATCCCATTTCAACCTCCGGGAGGTGGAGGTTGCAGTGAGCCGAGATCATGTCACTACCCTCTAGCCTGGGTGACAAGAGTGAAACTCTGTCTCAAAAAAAATAAATAAATAAAAATACTTAACCCACTGCAAGATTATATACACATTTGCTTATACTTTTTTGAACCCTTCCAGGGTTTCTATTTTTACATTTAAGATATTAATCCAACTAAAAATGTTTTGAACACCATTTATTGCATATTCTCTCGTTTCTGCATTGATTTGTTAAATACTAAATTAATCAACAGTGCATCTATCTGGGTCAGTGTCTGTATGTCCAGCGACCCGGGGATCTCTATGTCTCTTCTGCAATGCTTGGAGAAGAGCATTGGAGATCTCAATGTCTCCAATGCTTCACTGTTTGACTTGCAGGTTGGTGATGCCTGTTACGACTGGCAGTTCTGTGTGCTGGACGGCCCTACCAGGCTGAGCTCACTTTCTGACAGTGTAGCCTCCATGGCACCAGGCGGAGAGCTGTGGGCAAGGGAGCTGGGCAGGGAAGAGGTCAGGGTGAAGGTGGGATGCCCGAACAGCGTGCAGTCCCAGCAGACCCAGCCACGCCCACCTCTCTGCCAGGCCAGTGCCATGACCCTTTTGGGGCCCAGTTGGTTACAGATTTCTTCCGGTTGATGGAAACCCCCTTATAGGACTGCTCTTCTCTCAGTCTTCCATATAATCCATACTTTGGCTTTTCGGACAACGGTGATGGCATGTTGTCAACCAGGACTACTGGGGCTGGGTCAGGGGGAAATGCCCTATACAGATGTCACTGTGGTGTCTTCTTTGTCAGCAAGCCAAGGTCCTTCCATAAAATGCAGCTGCAAAAGTTAACTGCCAATGATAGTGACTAATAAGACTAACACAGGGCGTGGCTAACACTTGGAATGCTTAAAATGTCCCATGTATCATTTTGTAAGCACTTTGCAATATTAACTTTGCAATATTTATGTATGTAAAATATTAAGTGTGTATTAAATACACACACGCACTATTATTATCCCTATTACAGAGGAGGAGACAAACTCATCTGTAAGTGTGAGGTTAAGTAACTTGCCCAAGATCACACATCTCTGGAGAGGCAGAGCCAGGAATCGAACCCGGTCTATTCCAGCTCTGTACTCGTATCAGTACACTATGCTGAAAAGAAGTGGAGAGCTACAGGAAGGAATGGGACAGGGCCCTGGGTTAGGTTTCAGTTGATGCCCATTCTATTCCCCTTAAGAAAGGAGAGAAAGGGTAGATAAAGTGCCCCCAGCACACACACTGCCACGCACACTCCCCTGCGGTCCTCCCCGGCCAGGGAAGGGCCTGCCACCCCCGTCACCCCCGTAGGGTCTTGAACCTGCTTAGCATAGGCAGCTCGCAGCTAGCATGTCTCAGTACCTGCCATTCCCTCGTCCGAGGTCACGACTTCAAATCCTGTCTCTAAGGCCAGAGCCAAAGTAGGCCCTTCTGTGAACAGGCCCTTGGGTCACTTCTCACCTTCCTAAGCTGATGGAGGCCTGGCTTAGCAGCCGGAAGGCCTACCAGGCACTGTGCACCATGAGCATGTGTGCAAAGGGTACTCTCTCAGAGCCAAAGCACGCCTGCTCATCTCCCCCGTGGCAGAAGGGAGCCCTGAGGGGGCCTCTCCCATAGGCCGGGCCCAAGCACGAGTCCAGGTGGCTGGGTAGGCTTTGGCCGCACCTGAGAGGCCCCAGACATACTTCGATGAAGTCATTGCCCCAATCTAGGGTACTACGTCCTGGAAAGGAATGTCTGTGAATGCTCATTTGGTGGGTTTTGGTCGTTGTTGTTGATTTGTTTGGGCTTGCTCTTCATACAGGTGATTTTTCTTTACAATCTGCTGGCAAAATATTTGCAAAATCAGGTACATTTGGTGTGCGGGGAGGCCCTTCTTCCAGCACACTGCCCTATTCCAGTGGGAGGGGGCCTGGGGCTTTCCCCCTCTCTCCACCCTCTGTGAACCGGCTTCTGAAAGGGGTTGCTTCCAACCCACCTGCCACGTCCTGACCTCCCGCACAGAGGCAGGTGAGAGGCTGTGCGTCCCAGCCTCTGCCAACTCCCGAACAGGGATGGCTGAAGGGGCAGGAGGAGGAGTCCCCATTCCAAACCCTGGGTTTGTCCATCCTCCATCCATCCCACTCACACCTCAGCAGGGCCAGTTTTCATTTATTTTCAGAAGATCACCTGGCCCCAAGTCCTCAGTGGTGTGGTGGGCAACTGTGTCAACGGTGTGGCCAACTATGTCCTGGTTTCCGTGCTGAACCTGGGGATCAGGTGAGCCCGGGGTTTGGTGGGGCCTAGTCAGGGGACACTGCCCACCGAGTTCCCCACCCATGCTGGAGACAGGTCAGTCACCATCCTGGCCCTGCCTGTGTCATCCTAAAGTGGAGGGTTATGGGGAGTTGGAGGGGCCTGATGGTCCCTTTGGGACCTCAGTTTGAGGCCTGATCGGGTGAGAGGACAGCCACTCCCCACTCCTGCCCAAGCCCACCAGCAGAGGCGAAGTGGGCACTGGCAGGGTGGCCCCCAGGACACTGTAGTCGCGGCTGCCTGGGTAGAGCCACCATGGCCAGAGGTGCCTGTGGGCCCTGGTTGAGTCTGATCCCAGGATGGGAGTAGAGCAGAGCCATGCCTGCCCCACACGGGTTGGCCACCAGAGCAACCTCTCTCTCAGGCAGGGCAGTGGCAGAGTTGGCATCAGTCCCAGCCCTGTTCTCTCTCCTTTCCCAGGGGCTCTGCCTATGCCAACATCATCTCCCAGTTCGCGCAGACCGTCTTCCTCCTTCTCTATATTGTGCTGAAGAAGCTGCACCTGGAGACGTGGGCAGGTGGGAGGCCTGGCCTGCTCTGGGAGGCTGAGCAGGCCAGCGGCACAGCTGCCCAGGCCTTGGGGCAGGGCGGTCGGCAGGCAGAGGGTGCAGTGGAGCCTGTTGGAGGAGGTGCAGGACCCTGCACGGCCCCCTCCTCCCCCTTTGCTTCCCCAGCCCCAAGGGCCCGGAGTCCCTCCATCCAAGGTGTCACGATGCAGAGCCCTGCTGCGTCACAGAAGCCTGGCCCAGGGAGCTTTCTTGCCCAGCCCCAGCTCTCGGGATGGCGGTGAGAGCACTGACACCCATGGAATACCAGGCGTCAGCAGTGCGTGGGGTGCCCGACATTCCTGAATTCATTTAAACCTCACCCCACCTCATTAGCCCCATCTTACAAAGAGGAGATTATGACAGACGGAGGTTAAGTAATTTGCTGAAACACCAGGCGTGTAGGGGCCTGCCCGTGCTTTTCTGCCTCTTGAGAGCCAATCCCATACAACAAGGGCCTCCTCTTGCCAGACATTTCAGGAACAGCTCTGCAGGCCCCTGGGGCCTCACGTGGGGCAGGGCCCTTGGCTGAGCCCTTTCCAAGCTTGCCCGGCGCACCTGCGGTGTGTTTCCCTTCAGTATCCTTGATTTCATGCCGCCCCTGAAAACTCCCCAGGGAGTCAGAGCAGCTATAAGGCCTGGGGTTTTCAGGTGGAAATGGAGCCTGCGGAGTGGTGGGTAGTTGCTCAAGATCCCACACTGTTGAGGGTGGAGTGGGGACCAACATCCACGCCCTGGGCCCTGGGGCCATCCTGTGGACCGGCCAGGTGAGCCTGGTGCCCTGTTCCTGCATCCTCCTCCTCCACAGGCCCCAACACCAGCTCTAGACCAGCCGCATTCCCTCTACAAAACGCGCAGTTCCTGGGCCTGCTAAGCCCCAGAGCAGGAAGAGCCAAAGCTGTTTAGGGGCCTCCTGGCTGTGGGGAGCAGGAATGGGCTGGGCAAGCAGGGCAGGATGTCAGCTCACGCGGCCTCTGTTTCCAGGTTGGTCCAGCCAGTGCCTGCAGGACTGGGGCCCCTTCTTCTCCCTGGCTGTCCCCAGCATGCTCATGATCTGTGTTGAGTGGTGGGCCTATGAGATCGGGAGCTTCCTCATGGGTACGTGGGAGAGCATGGGGGGCGCAATGGCGTGAGGGCGGCTCACCCAGCCCAGAAGCCCCCTCCCCAGGATGGCAGCTCACCAGCCCCCTTCCGACTTCACTGGCCAGGCCCTCAGGCACGGACCCAGAGAGCACCACTGCCCAGCGGGGCTGATCCGTCTGTTGCTGGTCTGCCTCTCCATTAGGCTGTGAGCGTCCGGGAGGCAGGCCTGGGCCTTTAGTGCCTGAATCCCAGCATGGGCCAGGCGGAGCAGGTGCCCGTGGGAGGTGTCCGAGGCACAGAGGAGTGACAGATTGAGCTGGTTTGCGGGTGTGAGCAGAGGCCCGGGCTTGCCAGCATGAGGCTCCCACCTGCTGCCTTGTGTGTGCTCATTAGAGCACTCGGTGAAGGGAGGACTCCAGGCAGCCTGAATATGAGAACCCCTGCCCTGCCCCGCGTTTGCAGATGAGAAAATGGGGCGCAAGAACAGAGCAACTCCACAAATAGAAAATCAGCGGGAGGGCCGAGAACCGAACTCGAGTTGCTGGACCCTGGTCCCACGCTCTGTCTCCTCCCTCACCCTGAGTTCATCTGAACAGACAGACCACACAGGGAAGCCTGCAGGGGCCTCCGGGGCACTGGGCAGAATTTTCCTAACAGGCTGAAGGCCAGGCAGGAATGTCTTTTTGTTGTCATTGTTACCAATCTGCCCTTCAAAATCAGCCGGACTCAGTGACTCACGCCGGTAATCCCAACACTTTGAAAGGCCGAGGCGGGTGGATCACTTGAGGCCAGGAGTTTGAGACCAGCCTGGCCAACATGGTGGGACTCTGTTTCTACAAAAAATACAAAAATTAGCTGGTTGTGATGGCACCACCTGTAGTCTCAGTGACCTGGGGGCCTGAGGTGGGAGGGTCACCTAAGCCAGGAGGTGGAGGCTGCAGTGAGCTGTAATTGCACCATCGCACTCCAGCTTGGGCTACAGAGTGAGACCCTGTCTCAAGGAAAAAAAACAAAAATTGCACGAGTCCCCAAAGCGGAGCGGCGTCCTGTTGGTGCAGGGTCTGGGTGTCTGGGGCTGTGGGCTGGGCTCACGGCAGGCCTCTCCTCCAGGGCTGCTCAGCGTGGTGGATCTCTCCGCCCAGGCTGTCATCTACGAGGTGGCCACTGTGTCCTACATGGTAAGGCTCCTGAAGGGGTGCCTTCCCCAGATCTCCCACCTGACGGCTGGAGGTGTCATAGGAGGGGGGCAGGCTGTCACCTGAGGCTGTCTCTGTCTCCTAAGGGACCGCCCGGGGCCTCTCGTGCCCACCAGGTCCAGGCCCTGCTCAGCGTATGCCAGGGCTCACACACAGGTGCCCACAACCTGTCCACCAAGGGTGATATTTCACCCACAGATGTTGGAATTTTAAAAAGTAATTAGCATTATTTTTAAATTGGGAGATTTCACATCAGAATCTTATTTTTGAATTTTCTTTAAAAAATGCACATTCCAGGCCGGGTACGGTGGCTCGTGCCTGTAATCCCAGTACTTTGGGAGGCTGAGGTGGGGCAGATCACAAGGCCAGGAGTTCAAGACCAGCCTGGCCAATATGGTGAAACCCCATCTCTACTAAAAATATAAAAAGTTAGCCGGGTGTGGTGGCACAGGCCTGCAGTCCCAGCCACTTGGGAGGTTGAGGCAAGAGATTCGCTTTAACCCAGGAGGTGGAGGTTGCAGTGAGCCGAGATCGTGCCCCTGCACTCAAGCCTGGGCAACAGAGTGAGACTCTGTCTCAAAAACAAAAAAAAAACAAAAAAAAGGCACATTCCATTGAGCAGTGGCCCAGATTCCTGCACCCTGCAGTTGGCCAGAGCTGGGTGACAGCGTCCCCACCAGGGCCATGGGCTCTCCTCCACCACAGCCCCCACCTCCCCTCTACTCCCCACAGAGACACAGCCATCATCTTGCTTACGCAGCCCACGTCACTCCGGTATGCATCTGCACGTTATCCTTGACCCCAGCGTTAAGCAAAGGAGTCACAAACATCTACATTACAAAACCAATTTACAGATTCTTATTTTTACAAATGGTTTCTGCTGAAATCTCTTTTTTCTTACAGGGAACTTTTCCGGGACTAAGACCACAGTCGCCTCTTTAAAATCTGTTTACTCATTTGCTTTTGACAACACAGTGATTTCGGTTGCAAGGCCCGCCTGCCTGTGCTGCCTCTGATGGCGCAGGTGGTGGTGGGACTGGTTGGCTCATGCTGGGGTACCTCTACCCTTCTCCCAGCCCCAGCTCTCCCGGCCTCATCGTCAGCAGCAAGAATGTGACACACCTCTTATGCTGCATGCCTGAGATCTGCCCTGCCTTCCCGCTCCCGTCCCTCTTGGCCCAGGCTGGCTCAGGACTTCAGGGGTTGGAGGGTGGGCCCACTGACAGTGCTTTCTTATCTTTGATCCCAGATTCCCTTGGGGCTCAGCATCGGGGTCTGTGTCCGAGTGGGGATGGCTCTGGGGGCTGCGGACACTGTGCAGGCCAAGCGCTCGGCCGTCTCGGGCGTGCTCTGCATAGGTAGGTGGAATCCTCTCCTGGTAGGCCTTTGAACATTGGCCTGAGTCACCAGCCTGGACCAGAAGAAGGCTGGCATGTGGCATGGTAGAGGCAGGGCTGGCCTTGGGAGCTGCCAGGTTTATCTTCCAAGCCTGCTGGACCTGCCATCTGACCCAGGCCAGCCTCTGCTGCTAAGCTGACAGCTGCCTCCCTCTGAGCAGCAAGCGATCCTCCCACCACCTTCTCCCCATCCCCACTCACTCCTTCCCTGCCGCTGTGATTGTGGGACTCTTCTGGAGACAGCTGGCTTCTACCACTTACCTTAGAGAAAAGCCTGACTCTTTGAAGGCCCTTCCCGCCCAGCACTCTCCTTCCAGCTGTCCAGAGTCCTTCTGCAAGCCTGGCCCTCCCAGCACCCCCATGAGCCCGGCAGCTGCCAACCCACTCTTGAGAAGGAGCCACTCGTGTCTTCCGACATCGTGGCTGTGCTTTCTGAGGCTGGAAGGCTCAGACGGGCTTCCCTGTAGTGGTTCTCAGGCTGTAGCCTGCGCCGGAATCCCCGAGAGGGCTGGTCACAGATTGCTGGGCCTCACCAGCAGGCTTTGATTCAGTAGGTCGGAGGCAGGGTCTGAGAATCTGTTTCTAGCAAGTTCCAGGGTGACGTTGCTGCTGGATCAGTGTGCCGCCCACTCTGAGAACCACTGGAGTGGAAGCATCTTCCACTCTGCCCTTCCTATAAGACCGTCTAGCCCAAATGAACGCCTCGGATGTAGGGGACATCAGGGCCCGTGACAAAAGGCACCTGGTTGCAGAGGGCTGGGCTGACTGGCCCTGATGGAGGGGCCAGCCCTTTGCTGATCTGAGCAGGGGTGCTTCCTGGCTCGGGGTCTGTCATTGCTGCACTTTTTATCTCTTCCAGTTGGCATTTCCGTGCTCCTGGGCACCGTGATAAGCATCCTGAAAAATCAGCTGGGGCGTATTTTTACCAGTGATGAGTAGGTAATCAGTTTTCTATGCTGACTTTTGGAAAATGTCAAAGTGGTTCCCAGCCTGTCCTCAGATTTTTCACAGGCCTGGCTCAGTGCTAGGCCCAAAGGAAGCAGGAGGAGCCCAGGCTTGGCTGTCACTGAGAGGAAGTCAACCTCTGTCTGTCCACCCTAGGCCTTTAGTGCCTGTCCACAGACAAGAGGCTAACTGAAGGGCAGTCCAAAATTGTGGGGGCTTTGCTGAAGGTTTAGGTGTGACCCACAGACACAGAAAACATTTGTGTGGGGGATCTACCTCTATTCCCAAGCTTTTTCTTGTGGGGGTGGGGTGTGGAATAGAAGGGATGTAAACGGGTCTCAAAGGATACGTCTGTCTTAAGGCTTTCTCATTTCTTCTGCAGAGATGTCATTGCCCTGGTGAGCCAGGTCTTGCCGGTTTATAGCGTCTTTCACGTGTTTGAGGCCGTCTGTGTAAGTACCACTTTGATCCAAAGCCTGACTCCCCGCCACAGGATTTATGTACTTGTGCCCTCCCCAAGACCTCGCAGGGCTGTGAGGATGAACTTGTTAATACGCGTGAAGGGCTAACTGTATAGTACGTGCCCAAATTATTTGCTGATAATAGTTCCATTCTTATTTCAAACGAAGACTTCCCTCTTCTGCAATTTACACAGCTCAAAAGCGAATGCAGATTAGCAAAGAACTGAAAAATTGCAGCAGTGTAAAGCCACAAATCCATGACATTGACCTATGCCCCATGCGGGCCAGGAGCTGAACGGCAACCATATCCTGTTGCCAGCACAGAGGGACATTTCTACAAGAGAACGAGCCCACCCAGAACACAGACGGACCTGGACTTTCTGCTTCATCGATCACTAAAGGACAGGTGTCATTTAACATAGATTTGAATTATGTGATTTTTTTTTTTTTTTTTTTTTGAGACAAGGTCTCGCTTTGTCGCCCAGGCTGGAGTGCAGTGGTGCGATCATGGCTCACTGCAGCCTCAACCACCTGGGCTCAAGTGATCCTCTCGCCTCAGCCTCCGGAGTCGCTGGGACTACAGGTGCATGCCACCACATCCAGCTAATTTTTAAATTTTTGTGTTTTTTGTAGAGACAGGGTCACACTGTGGTAGGTGGAGTCCGCTCCTGGTGGGCCTTCCAACGCTGGCCTGAGTCACCAGCCTGGGCCGGAGGAAGACCGGCACAGTGGAGGCAGGGCTGGCCTCGGGAGCTGCCGGGTTTATCTTCCAAGCCCTGGGTGGTCTCTAACTCCTGGGCTCGAGTCATCCTCCCGTATCAGCCTCCCAAAGTGCTGGGATTATAGGCATGAACTACGGCACCCAGCTATGATTTTTTAAAAACAAGAGAAAACAACAAACCCAAAACACCAAACTCTTGCTTAATAAGCAGAACTGGAACTCACAGCTCTCCGACTTCACATCTCAAGTTCTGTGAATTCTTCAGGAACACACCCCTTGCATACATTCCCATAGCTCTGCAGAGGGATATGCCCTTAATTAGCACCACGGAACCCTGGCACACTCCAGCTCTTTCCCCACCTGGGGAAAAAACACTCGCATAATAATTACCAACTCATTGCAAATCTACTGCAATAAATCATATTTATGGAGGATTTTTCCAAAGGCCTCTGTGCACTCCATCCAGTTCACTAGCTATTGTAGGATTTATTTGTGAATACAGCTGGGCATTCAGAAAGCGACAAGCTTGGGTCACATGTTCTTAGCCTCGGCAGAAATGCCTTCTCTGGGCTGTGTTCTGACATCATATTTGTGGCCTTTATCAAGGAACATGAAACGAAACTACTTTATGGAGCCCGTTATTGCTTTTGTCATAGGATACTTTTTTTTTTTTTTTGAGACAGAGTCTCATTCTGTCTCCCAGGCTGGAGTGCAGTGGTGCGATCTTGGTTCACTGCAACCTCCACTTCCTGGTCAAGTTATTCTCATGCCTCAGCCTCCCGAGTAGGTGGGATTACAGGCCTGCACCCCTACGCCTGGCTAATTTTTATATTTCAGTAGAGACGGGGTTTCACCATGTTGGCCAGGCTGGTCTCAAACTCCTGACCTCAGTAGTTTGCTCCAGGTGACCCACCCGCCTCGGTTTCCCAAAGTGCTGGGATTACAGGTGTGAGCCATCTCGCCCGGCCTGGATACTGTTAAAAGACACTATTCACACTTTTTCTCTAGTGTCTAGGTGAGACCACACCTGAGAAATCGTTCTTGAAATTGAAAGCTAAGAATAGCTTTGCTTTTTTTTTTTTTTTTTTTTTTTTGAGACAGGTGTCACTCTGTCACCCAGGCTGGAGTGCAGCAGTGCCATCTCAACTTACTGCAGCCTTGACCTCCTGGGCCCAAACAATCCTCCTACCTCAGCCTCCTGAGTAGCTAGGACTACAGGTGCGCACTACCATGCCCGGCTCATTTTCTTTTTAAAGTTTTGTAGAGATGGAATCTTGCCACGTTGTCTAGGCTGGTCTTGAGCTCCTGGGCTCAAGCAGTCCTCCTGCCTTGGCCTCCCAAAGTGCTGGGATTGCAGGCATGAGCCATGGCAACTGGCCCAGCACTTCTGAAGAAATTAAGTAGGCCTCCCCTTCCAGGGGGTAGTACTTCTCTAGTCACTTGGCTACCAAGAAACTCCGAGTCAGGGTTACAGAGAACAGTTACCGGGGCCTGAGGGCCTGTGTATGTGCGGCCCATCATTTTTCCTCCTGGCTAGTCATTTTTTTCTTAATTTACATTTTCCATGAGCCTTATTTTTATATTTTGTAAACTTTGAGTGAGTTATAATTTACATATGATAAAATTCATATATAAGTATATAACTCAGTGATTTTAAATGAATTTAGAGTTATGTAACCATCACCACCAACTAGTTTTACATCACCCCCCAGAATTTCCTGGAGACTGTTTTGTAGTTAATCCCTGCTCCCACCTCCTGCCCTGGGCAATCCACTGCATTGCTTTCTGTCTGGATGAACAATTTCATGTAACTAGGGTCATATGATTGCAGTACTGTGTCTGGCTGCTTCTCCTTAGCATACTGTTTTTGAGGTTCATCAATGCTGTGGCATGCGTCAGTGCTTCACTCCTTTTATTAAACTGAGTAGTTCCATTGTATGGAAATACCGCCTTTGTTTATCCATTCAATTCATCAGCGGATGGACATTTGGGTTGTTTCTAGTTTTTGCTATCATCAATAATGCTGTTTAGAATGTTCACGTGGAAGTCTTTGTGTGGATTTGTTTCCATTTCTTTTAGTAGAGTCCTGGGAGTTGGACTATTGGGTCAAATGATAATTTTATTTTTAGCTTTTTAAGAAACAGCCAGCCGGGTGTGGTAGCTCATGCCAGCATACCAGTGCTGCTAATCCCAGCACTTTGGGGAGGCTGAGGTGGGAGGATCACTTCAACCAAGGAGTTTGAGACCAGCCTGGGCAACATAGGGAGACCCCATCTCTATAAAAAATTTAAAACTTAGCTGGGCATGGTAGTGCACACCTGTGGTCCCAACTAGTCAGGAGGCTGAGGTAGGAGGATTACTTGAGTCCAGGTGGTCCAGGCTGCAATGAGCTGTGATCATGCCACTGCACTCCAGCCTGGGTGAAAGAGAAAGATCCTGTTAGAAAAGGAGAAGGGAGGGGAGGGGAGGGGAGGGGAGGGGAGAGGAGAGAAACTGTCGATCTGTTTTCTAAAGTGGTTGTACAATTTTACATCCCCACCAGCAATATATGAGGATTTCAGTTTCCTTACTTCCTTGCCAATTCTTGGTATTAGGGTGCATCTTACGGGCTTTGACAAATGTGTGACATGTATCTACTGTCACAGCATCACACAGAGCAGTTTCACTGCCCTAACAAGCCCCTGTGCACGACCTGTTCATCCCTTAGCCTCTCCCCACCCCCTTCTGGAACCCCCGGCAACCACTATTTTTAACTGTCTCTATAGTTTGGCCTTTGCCAGAATGTCACTGAGTTGGAATCATGTAGTATGTGGCCTTTCCAGACTGGCTTGTTTCACATAGCAATGCTCATTTAAGGTTCCTCCATGTCTTTTGTGGCTTGATAGCTTATTTCTTTTTATCACTGAATCATACCCCATTGTAGGGATGTACCACGGTTTGTGTATCCACCCACTGATTGAAAGCCATCTTAGTTTGCTCCAAGTTTTCGCAATTTATCAATAAAGCTACTCTAAACATTCACGTGCAGGTTTTTGTGTAGCCATGTTTTCAACTCATTTGAGTAAGTATCTGGGAACATGATTGTTAGAGAGCATGGTAAGACTATGGAAGCTTTCGAAGAAAGTGCCAAGTTGCTTTCCAAAGTAGCTGTACCATTTTGCATTCCCACCAGCGCTGTTTGAGAATCCTTGTCATTGCACATCCTCGCTAGCATTTCATATTGTTAGTGTTTGGGATTTTAGCCCCTCTAATGGGTATAGTGGCAGCTGTATTTCTGTTTCTTCATTTTGAAGACACAGTCTTGCTCTGTCATCCAGGCTGGAGTACAGTGGTATGATCTTAGCTCACTGCAACCTCCACCTCCTGGGTTTAAGCAATTCTTGTGCCTCAGCCTCTCAAGTAGCTCGGTCTACAGGCACGCGCCACCACACTCGGCTACTTTTTTTTTGTACTTTTAGTAGAGGTGGGGTTTTACCATGTTGGCCAGGCTGCTCTCAAACTCCTGGGCATAAGTGATCCACCCACCTCGGCCTTCCAAAGTGCCGGGATGACAGGCGTGAGCCACCGCACCTGGCCGAATCTCACTGTTTTCATGTGCTATTCCCCAATGCCGTAAGACGTTAAGCATCTTTTCATATGCTTATTTGTCAACTGTAGAGGTCTTCTCTGAAGAGGTGTCTGCCTAGATCTTTTGCCCATTTTTTAATTGGGTTGTTATTGTTGAGATTGAAGAATGGATTTTTTTTTTTGCACGTTTTGGATATCAGTTCTTTATTGGATATGTGCTTTGCAGATATTATTTTCCAGCCCATGGCTTTTCATTCTCTTACCATCATCTTTTGGAGAGCAGAAGTTTTTTTTTTTTTTTTTTTGAGACGGAGTCTCGCTCTGTCGCCCAGGCTGGAGTGCAGTGGCATGATCTCAGCTCACTGCAAGCTCCGCCTCCCGGGTTCACGCCATTCTCCTGCCTCAGCCTCCTGAGTAGCTGGGACTACAGGCGCCCACCACCACGCCCGCCTAATTTTCTTGTATTTTTAGTAGAGACGGGGTTTCACCGTGTTAGACAGGATGGTCTCGATCTCCTGACCTCGTGATCCACCCGTCTCGGCCTCCCAAAGTGCTGGGATTACAGGCGTGAGCCACCACGTGCCCAGCCAGAAGTTCTTAATTTTAACGAAGTTCAACTTAACAGTTTTTTCTTTCATGATCATGCTTTTGGTATTGTATCTAAAAAGTCAGGCTGGGTGGTGGCTCATGCCTGTAATCTCAG